TTTTGTTAATTTCTCCCAAACTCTGTTTTTTAGGTAATAGAGGGCATATATTAGAATGTTTTTTTGGTCATAGTTTGATTTCTTTTTATATAGTTGATCCCATTTCAGATAAGTCTAACAATAAATCATTTTGTTTCCCTTTAGGAGGCCAGTTTCCGCAAGGCTGTAAATGATGAAGAGGTCCCCGTTAAGATGAAACATGTGAGGAATCTCATCATTGGAACGTTCACTGACAAGAGTGCAGACCTCTTTTGGCGGAATGTGGCTCTAAATCCCCCGATAAACACTGATGTTACAGCCTGGAAATTCTGCCACTGCCTTCATGTTGTCTTCCGTGATGGTCATCCCAATGTCCTACGGGACTCACAGCGTCATGTAAACAGAATTAAAGATACAGGACAACATTTTGTAAGTTTAGTTCTTGCATTTATATGTTAAAAAATATGGTGATGGGATGATCATTTCATGAAAAAAATTGGCTTGAGGAGTAATTGACGTGAACTTGTTGTCATGAGTGTACAGAGCTCTTGGAGGGTGAGCTATGATTAGAAGGCTACTGGCTCCTGAGAGGATGCTATTTCCATGCTCAGGGTCCTGTTCCTGCCTGCCATGACTGGGTGGCACAAGTTATCTTACAGAAAATTGAATATTAAGATTTTTTTTTTCTTTTTAAATGACACATATAACAAAGTGTTACTTATTATAATTATTGCAATGAGTTATGGACTAAATAAAGAGATGTTATAGAGTCTGTGCAAGGAATGGTCTATTACCATCTGGTTAAAATCAAATCAAATGACAAATATAGTCATTGGAAAATGACAAGAAAGTTAAAAACACTTATACCGAAAAAGAGAATATAGTATTGCAAAGGCGATGCATGGAGTCTTGCCACTGCACACGTGTGTTAGTTTGCATCCAGCAGAATGTCCACTCATGTAAACCTAATGCCCGTATATTGGGCAACATGATGGCAATGAAGCATCTGGATCCAGTGGGTTAGGCCTGAGTAAGTTTACATGGAAGATGTTATCTGTGCAGATTGATATACAGTCAATCCCCATCTCAAAGGGACATAAGAAGCTCAAGTTATGAGAGATTGTAGCTTGTATTCTTTTGTCAACTCAATTATATGCGGTGTCAATATTTTATATTTATAAGCATATAAAGCCAGTTTTAACTCTCCTCCTGACTTATAGATCAGATATTTGCAAGTTTAATATTCATGAATCTTGGCATCTGCAAGCTTGTCCTATTTGAATGTTAATATGTACGAAAGTATTTTGTTAAAAAAGTAAGGCCATAAAGAGATTAAAAATACTGAATACTATACTTGTCTATGTGCTTGATTTTTTACATTATCCTTTTCACTTTAGTAGAAAGCTGAACCATGCTAATAATGATAAGAGTTTTTACTTTAGATTTTCAAAATGATAGTGAATATTGCCTCATGTAAGATAACACTGATATATAACATAAGTTTGTATATATGCACAACACTTGAATGTTTACTCATATTGATTAAATTTAGAAGTTATGATGCACTCTTAGTTTTTGCTAATGGCAAGATGTTAGCATCATGATTTAAGATAAAAGTGTTGGTGATAAACACATCATGTATTTTAATTTTTTTGCATTCAAAAGGTGTGCAGAATTGTAACCCTCACACATATTAAGGACAAAACTTCTTACTAACCTGTTGATGCTGGCAGTGTACATATGCCTGTAATTTACAGTAATAGTGCTAAAGATATAAATCTTTCTCTCTGAAAATTCAAGGAATTGGTAAATTGTGAGTAACTCCTTGGTGATTAAACAGTTCATAAAAGTTCATACAAGAAATCCACAATAGACAGTATGTGTATACATGCACTCCTGGTATCAACATGCTAAGATATATGTGATACTGATTTCCATAATGATTCATCCGATAATGCTGATATTACTGCTAATAATATCTTTTTTGTCCTCAGCGCCATTTAACACATGGTTATGGCCGATTGATTAGGTTTTATTGTGACCTGCTGGTGACCAAGTTAAGCTTCCACCAGCGTTATCCTCGGTTCCCTGGTGCTCTCACTGTCACGCCAGAAGAACTTGAAGCTTTAGCAGAAAATGATGCCAACAATTAGTGAGTGAAGAAGTTGTCATTTTTAATTATAGTTTGTGTCATGACTGTACAGTTGGTTTATCTTTTATACTGTTAAACTGTCTAATGTCTTAGACTTGGATAATTTATTTGGATATTTACCTTATCATACAAAGAATAAGATATATTTAAGAATAGCTCTCCAACGCATATTCTGGGATCTCTGATCATACTTTAAAAATAGTATTCATTTAGGCCTTCCTTGTTTACATGTTTATGAAATGTGAGTTAGATATAGAATGATGACAGAGCTATAGGCACTTTCCCCATTTATACTTTCTGAATTCTACTGAATGTATAAGTCAGCAAATTGATGAGTGGTTTGTAAGTTTGGAAGAAAGAGATAGGGATTATGAATGTGTAGAAGAGATTTAGAGAAATTGATAGTAAATCCAAATCATGAATAGTTTAGATTTGCAGGACTAAGTGATGGTGATTGATTTTAGAAAAGTCTCTTTATGAAGAAAAAGAGTTGGTTTAAACTGCTGGATAGGTTTAAGGTAAGCATGTAGCACTTGTAAATGGCAGGACTAAAGTCTAGATATTACTGAATAAATGATACAGAAGCACAGAAAATGCATTTCCAATTTCTTGGCATGTGGGATTAGATGATTGTGAAAGGTTGTGGTTAGTAGATGTCATAAAAGGAATGATCTTGTAAATAACTGACACTAGAAGGCTTCCCATATTCCTTACATTAACATAAATTATGGAAGCAGATTTACAGAGCTATTTTCTTTATTTTGTGATAGAACATCGTGTGGGGTTTACATGTTCAGCAGTATATGAAAATACAGCAAATAGTGAATGGTTTGGCTGCAACTATTAGATATACACTCCCCCTCACACTGTGAGAATTAGAGTGATCAGTTCAATATTTTAGGGTAATGGATGTGTACATTTGGGGCACTAATAAAGAAAGGGTTAACCGTCTCCTGACGGGGAAGATGAATAAAAACTGGGGGAAATTCTTTACTCATTTTTTATATTTTTTTGAAATGTCCCTGTTTCTAGATGGCTCTGCTAATGCTTAGCCATAAAGGATTTCACTTTTCCTTGAATTGGCACAAAAAATTTATTTTTACTAGTGCTATAAATATAGGTGTTATTTTTATTATAGACATTATGATTATTAAAATGTTATAAAAATTTGTAACAGCAAAATAAAATAATGTTAAATATTTTCATAAATCGATGAAAAGGGTAAACGGGCAAGACAGGCAGTACTCGTAACTGGCTCATTGGTGATTTAGTACAAATGTAGCCATCCAGGGCCGGATCCAGGGGGGGCATGGGGGATGTACACCCCCCTATTTTTGCCAGAGTAATGATTTTTTTAGACCAGGAATTTTTTACACATCATCAGGGAAAGACGTGGGATATAGGTAGGAAAAGTCCCAGTCAGCAATAGAAGGGATAATTCATAGAAACTTTCTGTCCTGCTTAGACTTCGTGCCTTCGGCTCTCGCAATCGTCTCGGCTAGGGATTACGCCCCTCCTTTCTAACAATCTTGGATCCGGCCCTGCCATCTATGTGTAAAAACAATTAAATAAGTAAACTCACAATGGGCATGGCATGTATGTACATACCATGCCCGTTGGCAAGGGGTTAAGTGGCCCATGCACAATCGGATTTGTTAAGCATGGTATTTGTCAATTGAATTTTGACTGTGTTTGAAGGTGCAACCAAAGATTAAACAAATTTTAGGTTTTCTTGTCCAATATGGGGCTTCCAGCATGTTTGATTTTAAACATATCTGCTTATTCAAACAGTAGTAGCCATGGAGAGCAGATGTGACAATACCCACTTTTGGTCAGATTTCATAATAATTTTTGTTATTAATTATATCTTATCATTAGGGTTATTATTAGCATTTTCATAAGCATTGTTGCAGTAAGCAACAGGCACAAGTAGCAAGCAACAAAGTTCTAGTAGTATAGCCATTATTATTATTGATATTAGTTAACCCATTGCCGCCGGGGAAAATGAAAAGAAAATGGGGAAAATGCTGTGCCTATTTTCTATACTTTTTTTGTTAAATGTCTGCCCATAGATGGCTCTGTTAGCACCTGATTTGAAATGGCGGGAAAAATGTATTTTTCACTAGTGCCATGAATATCGATGGTGTTATTTTTATCATAAATATTATAATTTTTATAATGTTTTTTAACATTGGTAACAGCAAAATAAGATAACGTAAAATATTTCGTAAATCAAAGAAAAGGGTGAACGGGCGAGACGGGCGGTACTCGTAACTGGCTCATTGGTGATTTAGTACAAGTGTAGCCATCGATGTGTTAAAACAATCTAACAAGTATTCTCACATCATCATCATCATCATCATTTTCATTTTCATTTTCATTTTAATTTTCATTTTCATATTATTATCTTTTCAGTTTTGAATTGGCAGTTGAGATGCTGGAGTATATGGAATGCATTTTAAATCTGTATGAAGCAGGTAAGTGAATCTATTCACAGTTTTCCATTTGTTTTCAAACTGTATGTAAAAACAAATCTGGTTTGTGAAAGGATGTTTTTGATTTTATTCATTTTATTTTGTTTTATTTGTGAAAATCAGTGCATCACTGTATCTCTCTCTATTTTATGTGTAGGATATACAGACCTTATATGTAACACACAGTTTTGAGAAGTTGATAGATTAGTATATTTTAAGCTTTGCCCAAAATTGCTTATTTGTCACCCTTCCAGTATTCAGTTCCATGGACCCATCAAGAGCAAACTCCATGACACGTTCTGGACAGTGCCGGTTGGCACCTCTGATCCCAAGTATTCAGGATTCCTCGTGCCTCTATGACTGTATTGTCCGCATCCTTTTCCAGCTACATAAAGGTAGGGCTGCTCTTATTTTGTAATATAGGAGTAAATATAGAGTATTGTTATTTTTATTCCTCGTGTGTTAGCTGAAGAGAAACTTGGATTTTTCCTTTAGTTTTTTTATTTAGAACTTTGCAGATATTGCATAATCATTTAATGCTGGTAGATATTATAGTAATCATATCGTGTCACCATGTTTTGATACAGTGCTTAATGGGTATCATGGTAGATACAGAAAAAAAAAAAAAAAAAAAAAAAATAGATACAAGTAAACATTCCAGGCAGGCTTAGCTATATACAGCACATGAATAGTAATAATAATGAAAGATCTCTTTTAAACATACATATTAATCTGTTAGCTCTATGAGGGCATGTGCCGTCTGGGTCAAATGAAAGGTAAGCATCATCTTCAGCATGAGCCCCCACAGGTGTTCTCAGCACTCGGTAACACTGTGTTAGGTGTGGTTGCTAGAACCACTATTGTGAACACAGAATAATTGTATAAAATACCACCTGATCAATAAGTGGCTATGGAATGAAATTGCTACAGAATCTGACCTACATAATTCAAGACAAATATACAGTGACTGCATAAAATGGAAAAATGTAAAACTTTTAGAACGATTGATAGGTCTTGTGATTTTGATGCAGTCATATGACATCTAAATACCTGATGTATTGTTGAAAGTAGGTTTGTGTATCTTGGAAAGGGATTCAAAATTTTCCAAGTGCTTTACTTTAAAAATGGAAATAAGATTTTATGACCAGAGTGGCCAGTCAGCGATGTTTTAGAAAATAAAGAAGGAAGGATTACAAAGTTTACTATCAGCTAGAATAAAGCAGCATATATTTGATACATCATACAACAGGATGGAAGTTGAGCTGTTGCTGGTTTGTCCAAGTGGAACTTGTGAAAGAGCAAAACTTTTATTTCACACTGCCAAATTTATGGGCCTGCAAAGTGATCCTTACACACTTTTTATATAATGAACATAAATACTTCCCCTACATGATCATAAATATTCTATTAAAGTTAGTGATAGTGGAGTCCTTAATTATTATCAAATAAGTAAGAACAGTGACAGAGAGACTGACAGTAAACATTTAGTAAATAATGGTATTCAAATTTTCAGGCATTGATGAAGCTGAGAATGTTTTCTGTCACTATGAATGTATGACATATTACAGTTTAGGGGAGAAAGAGCTAGGGACATTATAGGGAGTGAGAAGGAGATGAGAAAGCGTACTATCAGATTTGATTTACACCCCCCAAAATTCTACACCTACATATTAATTGGAATATAAATACAGCAATATATAATATATATATTTTGAAATAGAATACTTTGTAAAATAGAAGGTTGTATTATGTTATGTATTATGTGGATGCCTTGAAAGTGAGTGTCCAGAGGGTGTGACCCGATGATTATTCCATAAATATAATGTTTATCCTCTTTGGCACAGTTTCTTTGTACAGAATTATACATGTCAGATTGCTGTCCTGACCTTAACATTGCTAATTGTTTTAATTGAAGTGTCAGTCAGCTTAATTATGAGCTACAAGCATGCCAGCTACATGACAGCAGAAGCAATTCTTAGCAACCTAACTTACCAGGTGTGGAGAACATCTGCAATGGAGGAAGCTGCCAATGCAGATAACCTTTCAATTGTCCCTGACTGTATATACATGCTATGTCCACTGTGATTTTGTTTCATCAATTTTGTTCACACATATATCTTTCTATAAGAGCTTAGTCATCAGGGAATCAATTACTAGTCATACCTGATCTCAATTAATAATATTATAATAACTATTTTGTCAGTAATAACAATAATGATAAAGAGCATTAAAAAAACTTTTCTTTAAAATAAATCAAGGCATAAGGAAATCAGGTGAGGTCAGGTAGGCTTACTAATTGAATCCTTGGTGTCTATGCTTGGTGTGCCATCTATACTAAAAAAAAAACTACACCAAAGGGTTAAATGAATAGGAGTAGAAGAATGGAAAACAGCATACACAGATGAATGAATCCAACACAAATACATAAAAGCCTCAAGCATCCAAACTTAGTTGTGTGTGTTTTTACTACAACTAATTTTTTTTTTCCTTTTTTTAAAATTTTTTGCATGATACTTATTTCCTTTCCGTTTAGTGCAGCTTTTTCAGTTGTTAATCAGCATGCCTCTAGGTTTGGCATTTTCATCCTGAACTCACAATTACTAATGCATTCAAAATATTTGACATAAGGAAGGTTTTTATTCCGTGATTGGTAGATATGATGGCAGTGAGCACAAACTCATTATATTATGAGCAATGAAGGCTGATATATTGTTGCATTTTATATATATATATATATATATATATATATATATATATATATATATATATATATATATATATAATATATATATATATATATATATATATATATAAATATATATATATATATATATAAATATATATATATATATATATAAATATATATATATATATATATAAATATATATATATATA